AAAGAGGATGTGAACTAAAATATACCCTCAAGTTGCTGAGATTGAAATATATACCGAACAGGAATCAAACACCTCCTATATCAGATATAAGGGGTAACATACCTGTTATGGTGCCCAAAGCAGGAATTTAGTATCAACAAGTCATTTTAAATTTTTTATTGATTGATTTTAGAGAGAGAGGAAGGGAGAGAGAGAGAAAGAGAGAGCGAGAAACACTTATGCATTCATTGGTTGAGTCTTGTATGTGCCCTGACTGGATATCAAACCTACAACCTTTGCTGTATTGGGATGCTGCTGCTGTAAGCAACTGAGCTCACAGCCCGGGCCAGAAGCCCTTTTTTAAGTGAAATGATTAATTGTATAAATAAAGGCTAATAAGTTTCTTGAGCTCTAATGCATGTTTATGATTTTATATATTTCATAAAGTGAGTGTTTCTGCAGCTCTCTTTTCCCAGTGTTGCAGGTTATCATATCAAAACAGAAATGATTAGATTTCAATGGCAACAGATAGTAAAGGCTGTGCTTTTCAAGACATAACCCCCTCCCAATTATTCAATTATGTACACACCACTATGTGAAACCAATACAATTTCTATTTATTAAAAATGGGTGTTCCGGACATGTGTGACTCATGAACACCAAAATCAAAGTAATGAGCTGAGAGCAGTAACAGCACAGTAAGCATGTCTCTTCAATGCCTCCCCCCCCCCCTTTTCTATGAATTTGTTTTTCTTTTATTGATTTGAGAGAGAGAAGAAGGGAGAGGGAGAGAGAGATAGAAACAAGGATGAGCAGCCCGGTGCATGCCCCCCCCTGAGCCACACCAGTCAGATGCCATCTCCCCCCTTTTTCCCTTTTGGCTGCCCCCAGCAGAAGAAGGGTACTCAAAACCACAGCGTTTCTAACACTGGTTGTGTTGTAGTTTAATCCTTCCACAAAGAGATCACATAACATGAAGAGCACAAAAGTTGAAACTCATATGCTGTCACCATCTCCAACTCTGAAGAGCAAGTCTTGTTTTTATTCGTTTGTCTCTTGAGAAGTTTCGTTGCTTTCAAACCTTAAGCAAGCTAGAAACACTGAAGAGTTCGTAGGATATATAGGACTACAGTCTCAGTTTTCTACCATCTAGTTTCAGTGACAATTTGTTCATGATCAACAGACAAATGGGATCATTTGAATTTACTGGCTGGTTTCATTCATTGTGAAAAGAAATAACTGACGAGGACTTACTAAAACTTTACTATCATCACTTGTGGCCACTGTGTGGATGTTTTCTCAACTTGAGTTCTGAGGCTGCTTCCAGAGCTGAACTGTGCCCTTTGGTCTTCAAAACTGCCTGCAGATGGAGCAGCCCCTGGTGCTGATTGTGCTGTTTGATAAGTTGTACTTCTTGCATTGTTGTTTAAAGGTACTCCCTGTACTATCATTGTGAGATCAAAGACAGCTTTTTTGTTCTACAGGCAGAGGGTGAAAGCAAGACTTGGTGAATGTTTCATCATATACAATCCCTTGTTCTCATCTCACCTCACTTGTTTGACCACTGAGTCAGCCCACCACTGAAAGTCTAGTTGCTCCCACAGTCAGAAAGAGTGATGTAAGTTTGTGGTCATGTTTCCCTAGCAATCCATCTCTTCCTATCTGCTCCTTGCAAGTTTTGCCTTAGTAAGCCCTGCTCTATCCCCTCCGATTTAGAATATGTCTTCAGTTCATAAAGAGGGCTATGTCCCTGATTTGCAAATCATATATGAATAATACTCTTAGTTTGGCTCAGCGGTTAGAGTGTCGGCCTGCGGTCCGGAGAGACCCGGGTTCGGTTCCCGCTAAGAGCATGTACTTCGGTTGCAGTTTGTCCCCGGCCCTGGTTGGTTGTGCGGGTGGCAGCCACTCGATGTGTCCCTTCACATCGATATTTCTCTCTCTCTCTCCCTTCCTCTCTCTCCCTCCCATTCTGTACAAAAAATGGAAAAATACCCTCGGGTGAGGATTAAAAAAAAAAAAAAAAGGGTCAATTTAAAATTTATCAACAACAAATCAATAGGTTCAGCAATGTAGCAATATATTCTTTCCTCTTTTTTTTTTTTTGGTCTAAACTTGTAAAAAATGTATTGGGGTGACACTGGTCCACAAAATCACATAGGTTTCAAGTGTACAACTCAACAAAACCTCATCTGCACACTGCATCATGTGCCCATTGCCACAAGCAAAGTCTCCCTCTGTCTCCATTGGCCCTCTTTGCCCACCTCCACCTCCACTGCACCCTGTTTCCCTCTGGCCATTAGCACATTGTTATCTGTGACTATGTATATGTGTGTATATATATATACACTTTTTTTTTTTTTTTTTGCATAATCCTTTCACCTTCTTTCATCCAACCCCCAACCACCCAGAAATATTAAATATTTTAAATGCCAATGAGAGACTTTGAAGTCCTTTATGCAAATGTGACAATTTTGGACTAAAGTCTTGATGAGAATGTTTTATTTTCACTTTTTCTTAAGAAAGCTAATATACTGTGACTGAGGGGAACACCACCCATTTAAACCTGAAATTCCACTGTTAGTGATTTTTTTCTATGGTTTAACTAATCTTTTTTCAGGTTTTCCCTACTTAAAATTGAAATTCATGCAGGAGTGATACCTCATTGAAACATCTACAGTATACTAGTAATTTTGTTAAATCAGCTATAGGATGATTAAGGAATAAATTATAATAGCTTTGGTGAGAACGAGTAGACAATGGAGATCAGTTGGGCCTAACTGAGTACCTTCCAGATTCTATGCAGGATGCTGAACAACGGAGATTCAAACTCAGTAAGCAGGGTCCCCGCCTGCAAGCTACTCACAGGAAGTGCTCTAGGAGAAAATGGGGCTGATGCTAAAAGAGATGGTGAAAGAAACTGCAAAGGGGCCAGGTACAGTACTTGAAGGAGCGCTGGGACCACTCTAAGGTACACGATTTTCTAACCACTTTGCTGTACACCTGAAATTAATACAGAATAATATTGAATGTGAAGTGTAATTGAAAAATAAATAAATGAATGAAACTGGAGAGGGCAAACTGCAGCTGCTTCACAATTTTATTTAACTAACACCACTGTAGTCATAATCCCTACCTCTTCACTGCCAGTCTCTATTTGGTAAGAAAGTGACAGAGCACCATCCTTTATTTCTTTATGCATGATTTCCTTGACTTTTTTGCATACATGTGTAGTAGTGTTGTAACCCAGGAGATCGACCAAACTCAGACGCCGAGATGGGGTTTAACAAAAGGAGTTTATTGAGCTAAGTCCGCAGGCACCTGCAGTATGTCCCACACAGGAGTAACTGCGGCCTCGGAGAGCTAAAATGGCTCCTTTTTATAGGATTTTGTAAGGGGGTTGCTACGTGTAAGCAAGCATGTTACAGAAGCGGAATTTAGCAGTTAGTTAATTACCTGTTACTCAGTTTCCCAGACATCTCAAAGGTCAAGATGTTTTCAATAGATTATCCCTGGTGCCGCCCAGGATTACTCAAGGGTTAGTTATTACCCCAGGGTTAGCGATTACTTAGGGATTAGTTAGTGAAGAATGTTCTTCAGTAAATGAGTAAACTGACAACCCCTTTGGTTGTCGTGAAGGCCTCTGGGAGTTTGGGTCAATGGCACTGAGTTACAACATTCCCCACTTCTTCTGGTGAATTAATCAAATCCTTGATTTATATTAGTCATGGATTAGGGGTAAGCGTTGGTAATGTTGCTGTTGGGCTAGTACCATAAGCTTAATTGATTGGACCTGCTCCTTGACAAATGCAGTGATTCTGTTAAGGATGATAGGTCCGCAGGCTAAGGCTATGAATAAGAGGAGGAGTGGACCCACTAGAGCTGTGAGGAGGGTGGTCAGCCAGGGAGACCAATTGAACCATGAGGTAGAGGTATGTTCTTCTCTCTCTCTATCTCGTAATCACTTTTGCAGCTCTTGCATAGATTGTCTGATGATACCTGAGTGGTTAGCATAGAAACAACAGGTCTCTCCTAGGGCAGCACAGAGACCTCCCTGTTTGAGGAAGAGCAGATCTAGACCTCTGTGATTTTGGAGGGCCACTTCGGCTAGGGAGTCAACCTGTTTTTCAAGGTATTTGACTTGGGTCTGGAGTAATTCAACATCGCGGGAAAACGTGGCTGACAGCTCACGAAGGGCAAGGTCATTCTTAATGAGGGCTGTCGCCCCTAGGGCAGTGAAGCCGGCAATACCCAGGGTAGCCAGTACAGGGATCAGAATGGGTACACGTTTCTGGAGTCTAGTATGATAGTCTGAGGCTAGAAAATGGGCTGCACCTGTGGGCCCTGCATATAGGTATACCTGGGGAACTATATAGATAACAACACAAAGATCTGAATGATTCCCGGGGCTAATGCAACGGTGGATACCTGATAAGCATGCAAACCAAGTCCCGCTAGGTGTAATCAGAGTCCATGGGGTTGAGCCTTCGGCTCGCAGAGAGGTGTTGGTCAGGCAGTTGTCCTTGTATGGCGAAGCTTGGAGGTTGAGGTTTCCAAGGATGAAACAGGTCCCCTGTCCTTGAAGATCTCCTAGGGTGAGCTTGCCGGTTCGGGCACAGTTGGCAAGGGTTCCTTCCCCAGGTGAGTCTGAGTCACTAAAAGTTTGGTTCATGGGGGCTAGAGTACCCGTGGCATTTGCCCCAATACCAACACAGTAGGGTGGTGCTGGATCTACACAGAGTCAGCAGTCTTCGGTGGTGTTAGGTTGAGAACTATTTAAGAGGGAGAAAACAGAATCTAACATGGTTAGAAGCGAGTTGCTAAAGGAATTGAGGGAGTGTGGCATTGGCACCTGAGGGGCCCCAAAGGCTGGAGCTGTTGCCCTATTCCGGCTCTCTAGAGACTCTGTGGGTGTTACTGGGTTGAGAATGTGGTTTGGTCCGATGGGAAGGGTTGGGCGGGTCCCTCCGAGAAGGAACCCAGGGAAGTCGCTGGATGGTGAATAAAGTACCAGTGTCGTATCCAGCGAGATATAGTCTCAATCCCCATGTTTTTCCAGTAAGCCAGGCTGAGTTTAGAGGCTGTTTTATAGTAATAGTGGTGGGGTTACAAGTTTGGTTCTTGCAAGTAGGGTCTATTCCATCTTTTCCCTTGTGGGCATGGGGTGTGGGGTCCCGCAGGAGGGTTATATCATTATCATTGCCGCCCCCTGGTGACCATCCAAGGGCTAGGGTCTCACAACCCCAGACCTTACAATAAAATTCTCCCGGTCCACCACATATAGTCCTCATATGCCTGGGGAATGGGTTCTCGGGACAACCATAATGCTGAGTGCTCCACAGAACATGGTTAAGGTGTCATGGTTACAGACTGAAGTTTTACTTGCTGAGCCAAAGCGAGTTATTTGTTGGGTTGTGTGACGGGAACCAAATTCTCCGTGACAGAGGTTGTCATCGAAGAATTGTGAAAAGTCCGTCTTAAGGGTTACCTGGGAGGCTTGGAAGGTCTCATTGATGGCTAGCCTAGAGCCATCTCTAGTCCTGGTGAGGACCCAGGTATGTTTAGTTGGAATGCTGCAGAAGGTAGGGACCCACAACAAACTCAAGAGGATGCAGTAAACTTGAGTTTTAGAGGGTCTGTGGGATCCTTGAAAAGAGCCCATTTCTTTGGGATCTGATCAGGGTGTGCTTTCTTTACCTGGGTGTGGTGAATCCACGGTCTCTTATTAGACACCTTAAAGGCTATGGGGGTTGTCAGAATTACCAAGTGGGGCCCATCCCAGGTAGGTTCGAGGGTTTCCTTGTTAAACTTCTTGATCCAAATCCAGTCACCAGGCTCAATGTCCAGTAGGGGTGGTTCCGCTTCAGTGGGTTGTTTTCTTTCCTTGGCTGAGAGGCGGGCCTCTCTTCTGATGACTTCGATGGCCTGCAAAGACTTGAGAAGCCCCTGGTTAGATAATTCGCCTATGTGGTCATAGTGAATCTTAGGGATAATAGGTGGTGGTCTCCCATAGATGATTTCATAAGGGGTAAGGTTCTTGAGATATGGGGTGCATCGGGTGCGCAACAGAGCAAATGGCAAGAGGTTTACCCAATTATCACCGGTTTCAATCTTAAGTTTGGTAAGAGTCTCCTTAAGAGTTCTATTCATTCTCTCTACCTGACCTGAGCTTTGCGGTCTATAGGCACAATGTAATTTCCAGCCTATTCTGAGAGCTTTTGCTATTAATTTGGAAATTTTGGCTATGAAAGCCGGCCCATTGTCTGACCCCAGTACTAAGGGCAGGCCAAATCTAGGAATGATCCCAGTTAGGAGATGTCTGGCAACTACGTTAGCAGTCTCGTGCCTTGTGGCAAAAGCCTCAATCCATCCTGAGTAGGTGTCAACAAAAACTAGTAAGTACTTAAATCCAAATTTGCTGGTTGAGATCTCAGTAAAATCAAGTTCCCAATGCTCACCTGGTTCATGCCCTCTGATTCGGACCCCAAGTCCACGGGGTCTGGGAGGCCCTGGATTTACCTGTGCACTGGCAGAACATCGGGTAACCTCCGAAGTGGCTATAGTCTTGAGATCTGGAATATAGAAGTGTCTACTGACTAGAGAGATTAATTTTGATGTGCCTAGGTGAGTACTAGAGTGGAGATCTCTAATGAGAGCAATTCCCAAGGCTTTGGGGAGAAGTAGTCTTCCATCGGGGAGCCGATGCCAGTTCCCCTTTTCTGTTGAACAATTTAACTTCTTTCTCAGGTTGAGCTCCTCTTCATTGTAGGATGGCAAGGAGGGCAATTCCCGAAGGGGAAGAGCAGGGAGTATTTCTATAGGTTTTACCTCAGTTAGGGCAATTTGTTTAGCAGTCCGGTCTGCTAGGTCATTTCCTTCTTTTGTCTGACTAGGCTTGGTTTCGTGCCCCCTGCAGTGAACAATGGCCACAGCCTTAGGTTGCCAGATGGCTGCTAAGAGATTGAGTATTTCTTCTTTATTTTTAATTTCTTTCCCAGCTGATGTGAGGAGCCCCCTTTCTCGGTATAGGGCTCCATGCACATGAGCAGTTGCAAAGGCATAGCGGCTGTCAGTGTAGATGTTGACCCTCTTGCCTTTTGCCCAATTGAGTGCCTGTGTCAGGGCAATCAGTTCTGCTTTCTGTGCAGAAGTTCCGTGGGGCAAGGCCTGAGCCCAGATTACCTGTAAATTGGTGACTACTGCTGCCCCGGCATACCGAGTTCCATCCCTGATGAAACTGCTCCCATCAGTATAGAGGTCATAGTCAGAGTTGGCTATTTGCTCGTCTTTGAGGTCCGGTCTGGTTCCCTCTATGGAGTCTAGTAACGAGTGGCAATCGTGGAGCAGTTCTCCTTGATTCCCGTCGGGGAGTAAGGTAGCTGGGTTGAGGGCAGTAGACTTGGAGAAGGTAACCTGTGGTGGGTTCAATAATAGTACCTGATATTGAGTGAGGCGAGCGTTGGAAATCCATCTGTCAGGAGGAGACCTGAGTAAGGCTTCAGTGGTGTGGCCTCCGATGATTTGGAGGTCCTGGCCTAAGGTCAGCTTCTGCGCCTCCTTGACAAGGAGAGCGGTTGCAGCTATTGCTCTTATGCAGGACGGCCAGCCTGTAGCAACAGGGTCAAGCTGTTTGGAGAGATAAGCAATCGGGCGTTTCCATGGTCCCAGTGTCTGGGTTAGGACTCCTTTTGCTATGCCTTTGCGTTCTGCAACAAAAAGCTGGAAAGGTTTGGTGGTATCTGGCAAGGCAAGGGCAGGGGCTGAGGCAAGCGCCTGTTTAAGTCTTTCAAAAGCCTCTTCTTCCCTTTCAGTCCAAGTTAAATCAGGTTCCTTTCCCCCCGTACATGAATAGAGGGGTCTTGCAATTTCTGCAAACCCTAGAATCCACAGTCTGCAATATCCAACCACGCCTAGAAATTCTCGTACCTGCCTTTTGGTGGTTGGCCTTGGGATCCCAAGGATTGCTTGGATTCTTCCTGAGGATAAGGTGTGTTTCCCTTCCTCTAAATGGTAACCCAAGTAGGTGGCTTTCTTGACACAGATTTGGGCTTTTCTCATGGATACCCGGTACCCAAGTTTGCCTAACTCAATGAGAAGGGCTCGAGTGGCAGCAAGGCATTCATCGGAGGTCCGGGCAGCTAAGAGTAGGTCATCTACATATTGGAGCAGGGTTACCTGTGGGTGGCTGTCTCGGAAGTTGAGGAGGTCCTGGCTCAGGGCTTCGTCAAAAATGGTGGGAGAGTTCTTGAAGCCCTGAGGGAGTCTGGTCCAGGTAAGCTGGCCTGAGAAACCCCCTTCGGGGTCTGTCCATTCAAAGGCAAAGATGGGTTGGCTCTTCGCAGCAAGCGGCAGGGTGAAGAAGGCATCTTTGAGGTCCAGGACTGAGTAGTAAACCTTGTCTGGAGGTAAAAGACTCAGAAGGGTATATGGGTTAGGCACAGTAGGGTGGATAGACTCAACCCTTTTGTTTACCTCCCGCAAATCCTGAACTGGCCTATAATCTTCCGTTCCTGGTTTCTTCACGGGCAACAATGGGGTGTTCCAGGGGGACTGACACGGAATTAAAATGCCTGCATCTCTCAGCCTCTTAATATGTTTGGCAATCCCTTCCTTGGCCTTTTGGGGAATTGGGTATTGTCTGACTTGAATGGGAGCAGCAGTGCTGGCCAATTGCACAATGATAGGGGGCTGGTGAGAGGCTAGCCCCGGTGGGTTTGTTTCAGCCCAAACTTCAGGGATCTGTATGGCTAATTTAGTCAAGACATCCTGTGAGTTACTTTCCCCAGTGGGAGGTGACGTTTCCTCTTGAAGGAGATATTCCTCAGAGAGGGGTACTGTAACCATGATAGTGGAAGGTTGTTGGTTCCCTAAGCTTAGAGTTGTGCTATTGTCTTGAAAAGTTATAGTTGCTTTCAGCTTTCGCAGCAGGTCTCTGCCAAGCAATGGGTAGGGGCAGTCGGGCATTACAAGGAAGGAGTGAGTGATAGTGCCCTCCCCAAGATCAGTGATTCTGGCCTTAGTCCATGGGTATGCTTTTGGCTTTCCTGTTGCCCCTATAATCGATGTCTTTTGGGAGGAGAGCTTTCCAGAGGCCTGCTGCAGGACCGAATAGGTGGCCCCCGTGTCGACAAGGAAGTCAGTTTGTTTTCCCTCGACCGTCAGGGTTAACATGGGTTCCTGGGGGCCTAAATTGATGGAACCCTGACACCCCTAATCTTCCTCAGTCTCTAAGGAGTAAGCGTGCAGGGGTTTCTTGTGCTTTTCTTGCCATTAGCTTGGGGCAATCTTTCTTCCAGTGTCCCATAGCCTTGCAGAAGGCGCATTGATTTTTCTTAAGTTGGGGTCTATCTTTAGATGGTTCTTTATTCCCCTTATAGGTGGCTAGTGGTCCCTTGTTAGGGCTGGCCAGCAAGATTCAAGACAGTTGCCTAGTTTGCTCCTTAATGGGATCCTCCCAGTTCTGAAAAACTTTCTGAGCTATTTCAAGTAACTCACTTCTATTCTTTCCCTCAAAGCCTTCTAATTTCTGCAGTTTCTTTCTGATGTCTGGGGTTGACTGTGAGACAAAGGCCATGTTGACCATCCGTCTATTCCCATCTGCATCTGGGTCTAAGGGGGTATAAGTTCTGTAGGCCTCTAATAATCTTTCTAAAAAGGCCGTGGGAGATTCGTCCTTCCCTTGCATAGTGGCTGCTACTTTTGCTAAATTGGTGGGTTTCTTAGCAGCGCCCCTTAGACCCCTGAGGAGGTTTCGGTGATAAGTGCGTAACCTCTGCATCCCCTCCCCAGTGTTTGGATCCCATTCTGGGGGTCGTTGAGGCAGTTCATCATCTAAGCCCTCGGGGCCAGCGTCATCCCCGACCACAGCCTTAATTGCCTCAGCGCGTATCCTCTCCCTCTCCTCTGAGGGGAACAAAGTTTGTAAAATCTGTTGACAATCGTCCCAAGTGGGTTGGTGGGTCCGGAATACAGACTCCAATAAACTTATCAGAGCTTGTGGTTGCTCCGAGAAAGGGGAGTTTTGCTGTTTCCAATTATATAAGTCACTAGTTGAAAAAGGGACATAGATCATACATGCCGGGCCCATAGAGCCGGGCGCAGTGGGCACCTCTCGTAATGGGAGCATTGGGACTGAGGTGTCCGGTTCCCGGGCCGGTTGATAAGGGGTGCCGTCCGGTGTATGTGAGGGACTCAAAAGTCTGGCGTTGTCAGCCGGGCCTGGGGCTCTTGCCTGAGGCTCGTCTGAGGGTGCCCTAGCCTTCCAGCCCAAGGCGTTTCCTGCATAGGGCGGGGGCGTCATTACTTCCAGGAGCAATTCCTCAGGATCCCCTGGGAGGACTGGATATAACCGGGGTTTGGGTGCTTTCCCAGGGGATTCTGGTTGGCTCTCCTTGGTTGCCCCCCGCGGTCGCTCCTTTGGGGCTGCAACCATGATGGTATGGTTTCCTACCTTAGCTTTCATTCCCTTTTGGGGCTCCTCCCTTCTGCATTTTGTTATGTAGGGAGGCTTGTCTAATACTATGTCAATCCAGACATCTATGTATACCCGTTGATCTGGGTGAGGGACCCTATAAACAACGGAACGCACGGCGAAGAGGAGGTTAGGGTCAAAACTCCCCTCCGAGGGCCATTCCACCCCAAAGGTTGGCCACTCTAGTTCACATAGCGTCCTCAGGAAGCCGGGGTCTGCTGGCTTCCTGTAATTACAGGACCTTTCGAGAAAATTGGAAAAGTTAGAGAGCAAACATTCAAGGGGGGTCGGTTTCCTGGATGGTCCTTGACCCATGGTGTCTCTCCTGAAAGTGAAACAGTTAGAGCAGAAAGAGAGGCTGAACATACAAGAACACGAAATCAGAAGACAAACAAGAACAATCACTGAGACTAGCCTCACACCCTCACGGAACACACACACCTTCAAAGTGAAGCACCTAGGCTTCCAAAATCAGAAGTCAGCGTCCTGACTCTGATTAGAGGCAGACAGTGCGCGGCGTCCCGCCTGTACAGCCTCGCCAAATGCTCCGGAGCCAAAGACACAAAGAAACAAATGGATCGATCCACTTACCAAGACCACGTGGCGCGAAGACCCTAAGCCGAATCTGGCCGCAGTCAGATCAAATTTGTAGAGGCGAGGATGGAGGCGCCTCGCCTTGTGCCTGAGGAGGTCGACCCCTCTCCGAGGGGGACCTCGAGGTGATCTCGCTGGGGCCTCCAAATGTTGTAACCCAGGAGATCGACCAAACTCAGACGCCGAGATGGGGTTTAACAAAAGGAGTTTATTGAGCTAAGTCCGCAGGCACCTGCAGTATGTCCCACACAGGAGTAACTGCGGCCTCGGAGAGCTAAAATGGCTCCTTTTTATAGGATTTTGTAAGGGGGTTGCTACGTGTAAGCAAGCATGTTACAGAAGCGGAATTTAGCAGTTAGTTAATTACCTGTTACTCAGTTTCCCAGACATCTCAAAGGTCAAGATGTTTTCAATAGATTATCCCTGGTGCCGCCCAGGATTACTCAAGGGTTAGTTATTACCCCAGGGTTAGCGATTACTTAGGGATTAGTTAGTGAAGAATGTTCTTCAGTAAATGAGTAAACTGACAACCCCTTTGGTTGTCGTGAAGGCCTCTGGGAGTTTGGGTCAATGGCACTGAGTTATAACAGTAGCTACTTTGAACTCTGTCTAATTCGTCTCCCTGGGCCCTGTCAAAGGCAGTTTCTGTTGCCTGCTTTTTTATTTTTCCTTGTGTGTGTGTCATATTTTCCTGTGACATATTTGCATGTCTCATATTTTTGTTGAAAACTGGAAATGTTAAATAATATAGCAATTCTGGAAACTAATTCTCCATTTCCCCACCCCTCCCCCTCTTGTTTTTGTTGCTGTGTGTGTCTGATGTGTAGTGACGCCGTCCTGTCTTCTTTCCCTTGTGAAGCCTCTGATGCTGCTTCTCCCAGGGTAGAGCAGGGCCCTGCAGGCTGCCATCCTGAATACAGTGGTTCCAGCAGGGCTCTGGGGGTCTTTGTCTGATTCTGTAAAACCTCTGCCTCTGTTCATTCCTCTTCCACCTTCAAGGTTCCACTAATTGTTGGCTGACTGGCCTATTGTTTTCAATAAGGCCTTCGGATATAAATTTCTCTACAGTCTGATCCAATTAAATACAGGCCCTTTAAGGGGTAATGTTTTATTCCTTTTTAAAAAAAAATAATTTATTTATTTATTTTTGTTACTGATGTTTTTCCTTTTCCCTCCACTGATTCCCCCCTCCATCTCCCTCCCCGCCCTGTCCCCAGCATTGTTTTCCATGTCCATTGTTCATGCACACATGCATATACGTTCTGGGGTTTCTCTCCCCCCAACCACCACCTCTCCTGTGGATTGTCAGTCTGTACCCCACTTCCACGTCTCTGGGACTACCCCATTCCTCAGACTGTTCAT